TCAAATATTTATCACATTATTTATAACGAATATAATTATAGTGCTTTAATATACAAGTGCACTTACGAGAGAGTTGATCTTTGCTAAGCTGAATTTCATCCTGTAATTGAATTAACATTATTAATAACGAAATATTTAATTAGCGTATGAATTATTAGAAGTATATTAGAACACATAAATCACTGAGAGTGAAGAACTGTCCGCGATTATTATTATAACGTAATTAGTTTGGGCAATTTATAGGTGTTTGCTGATAAATTTTCACTTAAATTACCATGTCGTTAAAGTTCACTTTACTGATGAAACTGTCGAATTAATCACAAAATCGAACGATTAACAAATTACTGCAATCGAGTAAGTTAGATGTTGCTAACTTACTCCACCGATGAAAAAGTCCTACTGAGCCGTAGTAAACTAATTAGCAGAGCGCAATACTATAGATACACAATCGGTGTTAATAGATCAATCATCGAATCGAACTCGCTATAAAAAGACTCTTATTTAGGACGCCTTCACGGCTGTTTCTTCTCGAAACAATTAACGTGCTGAAGCAACTGAATAAACGTTCAACGTTTTTTTTAATTGATATATGAAGATCATTGAAAATTAATATACGTGACATTAGTAATTGCGAGTACACGCATGCGAATAATGTTGCCGTTTACATAAAACAATTTATTTATACAGATATCTTTTATTCCTCTGTAGAAAATTATGAATGTACCGTTTAATTTAATAGATTTTTAGAAATTATGAATAATTGCGTATATTTTTAGCTTCTCTTTGATGGAATTCATTTTTTATGAAAGACTTAAAACGAATATGACCAATTATAAGAACTATATAAGTTACGAATTTAAGTATTATTTTTAAAGTATTTATTATTTTATGACGGAAACATGAAAATATTAAATTTTTTCAAATAGATATAATTAATATATATAATATTGGTTATTTGACTGGCAATCAGAGAGATGACATAAGTGAGCATATTCGTAACATATCTGATGTTATCTCTGTATGACGTTGATGATAGTTATAGCGAATCGGTTCCCCCGCACATAGCAAACTATTCGCGAACGTGAAAGCAGTTATACGTTGCATCGTATCGTACATACAGCGGTTTGGCAGCATTGCATTCTTTTAGAGGATTGCAGTGGATTGCCGACAGCTCGTACGTGAAAAAAATTATCTGGCAACTACCTTTAACCTCGATATATGTGTGTTAATCCAGCCAATCAGATAAACCTTTGACGTTAAATCGAACTACTGATCTAACAGCTAAAAATAATTCTGGGGAATCGCTTCATTAGCATAATAAACGGCTCATTGCAAATCACTAAGTTTAGGGTAGTTAAAAACACGCTTTTGATCTTATCAGTTTATACACGTATATTTGTCTGTAATTTAAAAATAATTTTTTAAATATTTCCGTATTTTATTTTATTTTATTTATTTGGTTATTATAGCTTCATTATGATATGAAAGCTATCATTTTCTTAGAAATTGAATCAATCTATTTTTATATAGACAGAATTGAAGAGATTATAAACTCACATGTTTCAGTTTGAAAAATACATACATATAATAAGATATATAGATAAAGTTGATTAGTTTAATTTCTAAGATAATTTTCTAAGAGAATTATTTAATATGCCAAATACAATAATAATAATAATAATAATAATAATAATTTTGACAAAGCATATTGCGCAATTGTACATATAATTATATATAATAAAAATATATTTTAAATATACACACATACTGTTTTAATAATAAAATTATAGAAATATTTTGAATTAAAATTTTTATATAAATAAATTTCTTTTAAATCAAGTTTTAAAATACGCAAAATGTTTCATATTAATTATTGTAAATTCTATATAAGTTTTTTAAAACACCGTTTACGAAAGATATTTTTAATTTTTTTTTTTTTTTTTTTCAATTTTTAAGATCACACACTGCTATAACTTACCATATGCGTTCTTAGAATCTGACATTGACTTTGGGCAGAGAGCCAAATATAGTTTAGCTCAAAGCAAACCAGGAATTCCGTACATTGATTAGAACATCATGCAAGATATACAGTTTAAAATACAAATCTATATTACAAAAAATATTTAAGTTTGGTTATACGTATGGCTTAAAATAATTTTTATCTCTTTTTAATTTTATAAACATTTTTAGAGCAATTTTTACTTTTGCCGTCAGCACGGCACATTACGAAAATGTGTCGTGCTGATAATTTTCGATACTTTTTGCGATAGTTCTCGCTTGTTCCGAACAATTTCTACGCGAATAAATTATTTTCAAAAGTTGTTTCGCCTTATAAACATTTTTAAAGCATTTTTTAATTTTGCCGTCAGCGCGGCACTCTACGAAAATGTGTCGTGCTGATAATTTTCAAAATTTTTGGCGATAGTTCTCTACTTGTTCCGAACAATTTATACGCGAGTGAATTATTTTCAAAAGTTGTTTTGCCCTATAATCATTTTTTTTTTTAACAATTTACTCTACACTTTTGATATTTATTTTTTGTGAGTGGGTAGGACTAATAAATTAGTGCTTTATGGCATATAATCGAACTCTTTTTTAATGGTGGAAATGCTAGATTCACAGACGTTTCGTAATGTTTTGTGCACGTTGAATCGTCAGAATCACTCTCGTTCAAGTTTGTTATCTACGATAATCGTGCATGATATGAATACGTAAGCGGCGATGAGACAATGTTTCGACTTCTCGGTTCAAAGCCTAATGTTGAAAACTCTCTTTTATAGCTTCCACGAATTTCATTGCAATAATATCGATTCGATGCCAGGGATATAACTCGTGCCATCGCTCTTTACACTCTGACGAACTCTTTGAGTTCTTGCGAGTTAGGTTTCGCGCTGATGGCAATGGTATAATATATTCGTCCTTCTTCAACCTTTGCGAGGGTGTAAGTTCTAAGTCGCGTTCTACTTCGTGAGCTAAAGGGTGTCACTCGAAAACCCTTTCAGCAGCTTCACGGTCAGGCAGCTGTGCTTCACGGTTTGCTTGCTTCCTCTCAGCATCGCCGCCGAGTGCTATTGCACTATGACGAACATGAGAGAGGCGTTTACGATGCTAGTAGATTAAAGAAATTACGAATACAGTGATAATCACGCTCTTGTTGCTGCTGGTCATCCAGGATTTGGATTTCGCACGACAATGCAGTTAGACCGAAACACTTTAACGGCGAGAAGTTGAAATTGTTTAACGGACAAATTGTGTAATTTGTTTCTGGCTGCAAATCCTGCGGGAGAAAGGAATCCCTGGTTTTGCTGACGCATCGCATCGATCTTTCAAGATTAGTTAGTCCTCAGACAATGCGCTTGATCGCGCGTTGTTGGCGAATCAAATTAAAGCTACGAGCGTTTGAATCCGACAGAGTGACTGGAACACTGTTTCCGACTTCACTCACTTCTGTCAATTCCTCTAGATCGAATTGTTCTGGTGTACATAAACACTTAATAGTTTTACATGCTTCAAAGTAATAGTATGATGGATTCAGTGTCCAGTGATTTTCCAATAACGGCGGTGTATCATTCTGGGTCATTTGTTCTGTCATTTACTTTTTTTGTAAATTATTCCTGACGAAACATACGAATGAGAGACGAAGTAATCGATGACACTGCATATAATATTGCAACCGGTAAAATTTAAATGCAAGGAGCTGAATTCAATTATGTCTTTAAAACAATATGCAATTACTGTGGAGAATGAACAGATATTGATTTACTATATCCATTTAAATATTTTTAGATGGATAGATTGACAAAAAAATAAATTAAAGAAAATTTAATATAGATACTTTAAAAAGAGATTTAAATTGTATTTGTATAATTTTGTTCACGTTGTAATTAGAATGAAATATTAATTTGCCAAGAAGTTTTACCAAGATTGTTTGGTCATTAAATGGACTGTACTTTTTATGTATGTACTTATTATGGTGTTTTTAACATTATATTATAAATTTATGAAGCATAATATGTATAAATTTAAAAAGCATAATAAATTTAACTTCAAAATCAAAATTAATCTAATTTTACAAATTTAAATTAAATATTTTATTAGCAGTCATATTTAATAATTATAATACTCTGTAAGTACGTTTGTACTTTTAATTTAAATTCTTCCTTTAGGTTTACATAATTTTCAATTAAAATATTTAAAGCAGTATTAAAAACTATGTGTACCTTTTTTTCCCAAAGTAAAAATCACAAAAATATCTCTTTGATGTTGATGCTTGTATATTAAACACTATTACTACGTGATGCTGTTTGACCAACATTCTAAAATATTCCGGCATCAAATCTAGAATCTCTGCCTGTGTTCGACATTGATTAATGTTATCTCATGCATTTGTCGATACGTAGCTCGTATTGATTACCGATGGCAACGTTACTAAAGGGAAACTTCGATAAATTATGTGTGTTCGCATTTTAATTGAATCTCACATCGTGCACACATAATGCACATCGTATAAAAAAAATATCCACGTTTTAGCTTCATATATTAAAATATCTATGTTTTCACATGGCAATCTGTTAAAAAAAGAGAGGATTTAATGAATAATGGTGAAAGGTGAAATTGAATCAAAGTAACAAATAATGACGCGAATGACGCTTCTGCTTATATCATTTTTATTCATTTGAAAGTTTCACATATACACGTTAATCATTAACGACATAATAAACAATGACATATAGACATTAGAATTTGAGTAGCGAGTCGCGAGTCGATAAGGGAAAAATGTCTCATAATACATACATATCACGTAATAGTTATCAATATAATGACCATATATATATTTAACATTATGTATAGACATATACAGACGAAGTTTGTGTAGATGTGTGTCGTATAGTAATACCGTATGTATATATATGTATGTATAATATACATGTATATATATATAGATAACATCGATATAACATTAGGCGTGATTTAGTCTCGTGTATACGTGTATTCGTTTAGGTATGCGTGTACAAGTATACGTATCTCTGCCTAAGAGCATTTATGCGAAAAGACGTAAACGTGTGTACATTGATTCAAGAGAGAACTCTATTCTTCCTTTACATATCTAATTCCACGCGGACTTGATTCTCACATATACGTGAGAATTACGCGTCCTTTATCTATATAGAAGACAGTGAAGAAAGGGAGAGATGAAATGCTCCCGTAAGAGCACATAAGACTAAGGTGTTGTTGTCTATGTAGAGAGATAGCGTCTGTTAATGCGTGTTTATGCTGTGTAGTACGTGTATGTGTGTGTGTGTGTGTGCGTGTGTGTGTGTGTGTGTGTACATTGATACGTATAGTTTAACACAGATACGAGGTTTCTGGAGTCGTGCGAAGAAGCGACGTGTGAACGAGCACCGAGATTACAAAGATACATCCTTCGATCGATAGTTAAGCTCCGTTTATCGTCCTTTACGCGCGGGCGAGTCCCGGTGGGACCGTCGATAATTTCGTTTACATGTTCCGCTGACGCACACACACACACATGCGTGTATGTATATATAAATATATACATATACCATCGTGTTTGCGCAACATGTGCGGTTTTCCTCGTCTTCAGGGTATATTCGCGCGTTTATTAAATGAAATAAGTATGGCGGGCCGGTCATGTGCGCCCGTCGGGCGTGCCGGCAACGATCCGACCACATTGTAAGACGCTGTACAAAAATATCCGCTTATAATAATTAGTAATAATAAACGGCGCGCCCGACGAGTCTAGCGCCGGCACCCACCGATATGTCTCGACATGGTTCTGCGGGCTCGACGTCCGGCGATCTGTAGTCCTTTCGGCTGCCGCGGCCCGCTGATAAGAGTACTCTCATTCACTGCGCACAAAATGCCCGTGAAACTTCGGAAACGATTCCGCCTCTCGATTTTGTTCGATTGCTATTCGAGTAGAAGTACAGGAGGGTGTAGATAATTCTATATGTATTGCACGAGTACAATGCCTTTTCGTGTACAGTATCGGAGCATCTTAACAGCGTATTGCCGTTGTAACAATCAGCAGAAAAGATTAGAGTCGCGTAAACTCCCGTTTGTTTCATCACTTTCGTTTTCTAAAATTTGTCTAAAGATATGTCCTAACGTCCGAGCCGGAAGTTCTTCAATGAAGCAAACTTTTGCACATATAAATCAATTCTCAGATCTGCGAAATTTTTGCCACGACCATGTCTTTGTTCTATTTCAATATTTGTTAGTAATAAAAGAATAAAATTTCGAAGTAAGTAAAGAGGAAAACGTTGAATAACTCGAACATTATCAGGAAAATTGAAACACGAAGTGATTAGAATATAACTTAAAAAAGAGAGAGCTCTTTTTGTTATATTTTTTTGAATGCATTTTTCTATAATAATAGATTATGTATTCTGAACTTCTGACTCAGGTAATTATGCTATTTCGCTATTTTTACTTTCGTATCTATCAACTTTTTTATAACTTATTGCCGCTCACACATTGCCGTTTTTCTGTCCTTAATAATCATAACCATGCTCAGATTTTAAGGTAATTGCAATTACGCTCATGAATTATTCGCATGTAATTATGAAAAGGAATAAATTAGTAAATTGCCATTAGATATGCCTCGTACGAATCCTAAGCTAAATGTAGGGCCTGCAGAGGATCGCATTTGGCGTATCGTTAATTTTTATTATCCAACATATCAAGATTAAATTTAATCACGAATATTTTTCGTTTTAGATCTTATATCGAAATGAAACTTTTTTATAACTGGCAATAAAACAAAGCAAAATACGAGTAAAGCAATAAAAGTTGAACTTTTTCCGGATTTAAATGAAAATCAATTGCAGAACGCCAGTGTGTGCCCGGCAGTTTTATACTGTTATAAATATAACTTCTTAGAAAAAACATCTAGTGCATATATGTATATAAGAGATATAGGTATATATAATATATATCTTTCATAATCATAAAATAATGCATAATAATATATATACTATATGTAACGTACATATATATGTATATATATATATGTATATGTTAACAAATAAATTCTCTTAAACCTCGTACGTTCACGATATGTATACGATCTTTAGTCGTTATAGCTTCGTCAAGCCTTAAATCGACTTAGTTAATCAGTTTATCTTACAAGTAGATTTGGGCGTATAAATGATATGTGTACGTGTGTATGTGATATCATCGCGCGTCTCTGCCCGTGCATTCGAAAGAGAAGATTAGCCTCGGGAATTAGACCTCGCACTCGTATTAATTAAACGATTCTTTTTCGGATTACAGCTTATTAAATCAAAAGCCATTATGAATGAAATTGAACACAGCACAAATAAAATAAGTGTAAAGCATCGTCATTGCATTCAGATTTTAACAATTTACATTTACTTTTAAATTACGTGAAATCTTGCAGTCACAATACGATTGCTCTATTTCTAATTTGAATTTAAAAAATTAAAGTAAAATATTTTATTTAAAGTAAAATGTTTAATTTTTTTAAACATTGGCTTAAAAATTATTTTGTTTACGTAATTTTTCTTTACTGATTTGTTGAAGTAATGCAGCTATTAAATTTAAAAAAAAGAGGTTCTAATATTTTATATATGAAGAGTATTGGTGACAATTATAACGAAGTTATTCAAGCGTGTTTTATATACTGAACTGAAATGTGGAATGTTCAAAGAATTCAAATGCGTTCTCTAAAATGCTTAGCTTTAAAATTCACTTTTGAATGGCTCAGCTTGACGCGCTACATAACGCATACCGGTGACCTTAATAATCCGCCATGCGGTGTATGCGCCTTATAGTAATGCCTTAGGCTTAGTTCTACCTTATTTTCATACGTATCGAATAGCAAAACACATGTTACTTTCTGCGTTAGCACTGTGATCAGCACTACGTCCTGTGAACTAATCTCTTGTACGATCGATCTCCCGCGTACGGTGTTCCTCGCTGAGAAACGCGTTCGTCGCGTGGATATGCATCGTTGAATAACATTCGCCGAAAACGTTCCTCGAGGCGGAACATGCGTAAAATGTATTTTCATATGCCACGGTCTTCCGTGCGCAAGCGCAAATTGTTGTTGCAACAGAGGGGAAAATATTTTGAACACAACCGACTGACATTATTAATATACATATGCTCTTACGGCTGCTCCGCGTCTCGTGATCGTCACGAACACGTGCGTCGCACATGCGTTTCCTGCAAAGATGATGCAATTTTCGTGCAACACGTGAGCCGTCGCGGCGGCGAAGTAACCGAGTCGTAAAGCGAACGCAACGAGGCGTTTGAATAACCGCGTTTGTGCTCTCTACCGGCACTTTGACAAGTGTCAGTTTCCTGTTGAGAGTATCGTTGGGAGTATTACGTGTCATCAGCACAGTCGTTATCTCATTTCGCGCGGTCGGGTCTTTGCGAATCGAGTTAAGTATTGCGGCGATCTCAAGATGTTACAGTGTTGCAGACTGCCGCGCGCGCGTGCGCGCGCATTCCGGCAGAAAGGTTGATAAAAGAATGAACGCGTCACGAGCGTTGTTTACTTTTAATACCCGGATTTAGTCGAGCCATTTTCTTTCCCGATCATTGCGTCTTAATCAATAAGACCCATTCGTGATATAACGAATTTAAGCGGGAAAGTCGAGTGACCTACTTTCAGACTGTTTGCTATCCCAATGAATATAAAGTAGTATATCCGTTCGAATAATTTCTGCAAATTTTTAAGATCCGGCAAAGCTCTTGAATAACCAAATTAGAAATAAACAGCCATTGGCGTCGCAGACGTTTCGGAAGATCGTGGCATACGGAAAATAGTCGAGCGTACGGAGGATATCGACTGTTCGCAGCACTTGTTGTTCAACAGGAACGCGTTGATATGTATATAACGAGTGGCCCGGAATCTGACTTCCGGCTACTCGGATCCGCTAGTGTGTATACTACGCCTCGCGCCGCGAGTCTTAACGGATAAACCACGAAATAATTGGCAACGATGCTGATATGTAACGTTCCGGTGAAGAAAACTCGCGCGCTCCTGATCGCGCGCGAGTATTCCACGATCCACTGGTCGATCAACGTTTATTTCCTAGCTCAGATCCTGTACCATCGAACCACGTGTACGGGTGTTATAACCTCGCTGCCTAATGAGAATCAGAGAAATATTTACTGTACTTATAGAAGTCTTTTTATTCGGTAGAAGTCTCTTCGACGAATTATATGCATGAGCAGCACGAGGTAGATTCATTGTTTACAATAGATGCCACGGCCTGTGTTTGTAATTCGATCGTAAAGCATCTGAGGGTTCCATAAATAACAATGATATTATCAGAAATTAATCCATCATCGCATAGCAAATGCATCCCCTACGTACGTATATTAATGTTGCTCGTTATATTAATGTCTAGCGAATGTCCTGCGGTGTCTGTGATTATCATTTCGACACGTGGGAAATTGAAGGGATTGCTCATGGATACTTACTGCGACCTGACTTACCGCAACAATTAGCTTTTTAAAACACGATCATTGTACTTTCGCGAGTTGTTTTTTTCACGGGCTTGATCAAACGCGACGAATAATAAATCGGGCTTATGGTGTATACGTTAGAATGAACTGATTTCATATTTCAGTAGCAAGTAAATTTAGAAACACCGAAAAGAAATCCAGATGTGTAGGTCGATTCGAATGAAAATTCAAACATTTCGGCAAAGCTTTCTTCATAAGCAACGAATAGATTGTCGTGCACGTACTGAAGACCAATCGGAATCGAGAACTCGACAAATGGTCCGTTCCGGTGGTGTGATCGGAAAAGAAAATAACGCGAAAAATACCGCCCGGCGAGATATCCGGAAGCGTTTAAAGTACCCAGTTCTCAAAAGGATCGATTGTCGCGGTTACCAAACGCTACATGATTGTCCACGCGCGGTCGCATCGCATGGACGCGTGTCTCTGCACAGAAAAGTAACCGCGGTCGCTATACGCAACACCTAATATATATCACTCCGCGCGTGAGAACAGAGGCGTATGTCCTCGCGTATCTCCTGGGAAATAAAAAGGAAAGCGGGACTTCTCAAAGGGCGCAAGGAATCGATCATTCCTACCCTATCTATCGCTCCGAAACGTAGCAATTCGCACGAATAATAATGCTCGAGGCTTCAGCCTTCGTCAGCCGGTGTTCAAATCTTGTTATAATTCAGCCGATCGTGACAAACGGACATCGGCGTTAATGCCGCCGACTTTTCGTGTCGCAACTCCCTCGCGTCATTTCCATAACGGACCGCGCGCGTCTGTCACACGAGAGCGTGTTAAATTATCGCGATGGTATTAACGTGATAAACGTAGCGTTTCATTTTCTGCGGGAAAAGGATGGCAATTGTGGAATCGTGACGCGTCTCCGCTATCGCGTCACGATTACCTCGAAAAGCAGGGAATCCTTCCTTACAGAGCTGAATGACGAAATCGAAAATTCACAATGATGTACGGCAATTATGAAGACAGTATGATTAATCGTTCCATCGACATCGAAACGAAAAGCCGGTCGGCCGTCTGTCATCGCGATGCCGCGCAAGATCCTTGCGAGATTACACTAGAACAGCGGTAAGAACAATCAACGGTAGCGTCGCGTCCACATACACTCTACACCCGGTAGCCGACGACGAGAATTTCCCGACGTTCTTGCCCGCGCAACCCATCCTATCGAGCGGGATACTCTGCACGGAGTATTCACGGTGTTCCTGCGCCATCATGCAGACCGTTCGCTTCTTTGACATCATCTCGTCGTCCTTGTCGCGCAGATTTCCGAGCCACGCGGAGTACCATCGTAGCTCGCAGTCGCAAATCAAAGGGTTATCTGCGCGAGAGAAAAATGGGACGAAAGAGAGATGAAATTAATAAAATCGCACGAAATGAGCTGGGCGTCTCTGTTGAGAAAGGGAATCTGACGAAATTTTGTTAAAAATATAACTTCAACGAGCGCGACGTTATTTGATTCGGTATTTTAAATATTTAATAAAAATTATAAAAAGGATATAGTTGACTTTTGTAATATATTTCATTTGTTTAGACATTCATTAGGATAAAGTAATTTAAACAAAAGAAGCTAATGAATTTTGGAATTATATATCGAAGAGAAAGGTAAATGTAAATGTTAAGTAAAAGCAAGGTATGTTTTTTTTACCTGTTATATCGATGTGACGTAGAGTGTCAACGATGTTCTCTGTAACTTCTTCCGGGATATGCGTGAGTCTGTTATTTTGCAAACTTAAAGTTTCTAACGAATTGAGATTTTCGAATACCAGAGGCGGAAGTACTTTGATCCTGAAAAGATTACACGACGATGTAGAATACTTTGCATATATATTAGAAAAATTGAAACGCTCTTCGACCTAAATTCCTAAGTTGCATGGAAGAAAAGGACATTACATATTTTTCTGCAGATTAAGGAAAGTGATGGAATCTCCGTAGCCCGTGAAAGCGTCCTCCGGAAGTACAGTGATGTTATTTGACCGCAAGTCAAGATGGCGTAAGCGATGCAAACGTCGCAGAGCGTCACTCGGTACCGAATGCAAATTGTTATCTCCCATTCGTAAATATTGTAGATTTTCTAGAATAAAAGATTGAAAATTATGGAGAAAAGAACGTATTAAAAAAAATGTAAACATATATGTATATTTAAGGTATAAAAATATGAGGCCAATATAATTTCAAAATTCTCTCGTTTCCACGGTTACTAAATTCTTTATAAAACACTAATAGATTAAATTTTCTCGTATATGATACGAGTAACGTAATTAAAATGGTATTGTACAAAGATGTGGAATAGATAGATTAGAAAAAGCGATAACAATCTGGCTTGCAGTAGGTAGCTTCGTTACGTGAACAGCATCAATAATAGCCTTCAAGAGTTACGACACGCTCAAACGAACTTCTTTCGATGAATTGCTGCTAGTTATAATTAAATCAAGCTACTCGTAGTGGTGAATAAACACTCCATCGATCGGAGAAGAATTTACGCAAGCATGAATCAAATACTTCGTTCGCAAGCTTTAATTGGATTCTTCAATGATGGATTGATGGAAATAATATATGATTAAAATGTTTTAAATGGATGAGCTTTTAGTAATAAATATTAATTGAATATTGGTACCCTGGATAAAAAAACAAACATATTTAAATGATATTTAAGAATAATTCTGATGTGCAAGAAAAGAATATATATTTTCTTCACAATATATTGTGTAAACAAAATAAAAACAAAATATATTCTAATGATAGACGTTTCGCAATAACTTCTCATTTTGGATAAAATTAATCCAAGTAAGATAGGTCGCGGAAATATTTTCTAATTCACTATACTTCATCATTAATATTTACGGCTTTCTGTCTAAGTTATTTGTCTTATTGATTGCGAAGCTAACTGTGGCGCTTGACTGAAATTGTCGATACTGTACGTTTCGCACAACGCTTTGTCGAAATATTATCTTGATAGTCGAGCTCGCGTTGGTATAGGAGATACGCAGCGAGATGAAAGGTAGTTTGTAAAGTGTCGTTCGCTCGTTTATATCCACGTTCCCAAAGGGACCCGATTGCATCGCCGGCGAGCCGTAGCATGCGGTAGATTTAAATGCTAAGCAGTAGTGTCGTTTGCAACGATAAATAAAGTAGAACGTGATCTCCAAAGACTGTAGGTATTTTATGGTAAACTGAACACAAAACCGCACATAAATTCTACGACTATCCTGACGATGCTGGCATTAAAACGATTCACCGATACAAGCTTAAACGATTACACGTATGTACATTGAAGTACAAACAAAATAATATACAAGTTTAAATTACTTTTCGATAATATAAAAAAATAATGACGCACAAGCGTTAATGTTATTTCTTCGCATATTATTAATAACATTTTTCATAACAGTTTGCCACACATATTGATCTGTCGGTTTTTTAAATGTTTTATTTAAAGAAAAGTAAGTGTGGGTGAGGAATGATATTAATATCAGGCGCAGTATAATTTTAACGTAAGTGCTGCGCTCGTACGTATCCACGCGGTTAACAAGTTAAACACGCACGGCTATACTAAATTGTAACTATAATACACTTACCCTCAAGACCGATGAACGCATTGGCATCCACGTGGGTAATCTGATTTCCGTCGAGTTCCAAAGAGTTTAATTGCGTCAAGTGGGAGAATACATGCGCCGGGATCTCACGAAGGTGATTGTGCGCCAATCCTAATGAATCGAGCGCTTTCAATCCTGAAAGGGTAAAACGTTTTATCGATGAGCCCATTTCATTTAATTGTATGAAATGCTCGTTACACATTCATTTTATAAAAGCGCTTTATTTATATGCAGATTGGATACATATAGTTGTAGATTAAAAAAAAGAAGTTGGTTTAATTAAGATTATAATAATTGTTCTGCAAAACGGGATCGGCAAAAACTGAAATATTAAAGAAGACACGTCTTGCAAAATAAAATGAATTATTGATTTTACCTTCGAAGTCACCCTCTTTTATGGTAGATATGCGATTCTCTTGCATTTCTAATTTCTTCAACAATTCTAACGAAGATAAAGCTTGCGTTGGGATCCTCGTGAGCTCATTTCCGCCTAAGTTAAGTCTTTTGAGTCTTCGGCTAAAAAGGCGCGACATTTAAAATTATTAAAATTAGTCTGGGGAATATTCGGATTCATTTTTTTATTCGAAACTTATAATAATATAGAACTTGGGTTGCAAATTTTTAGAAACGTTCTTTTAAATTGGTCAAAACAAAAATATATGTATCTTCAAGTGTCTTTAATTTTGAGCAGAAAATTCAGTTTTTATTTACTTGGAATTTATAAAATCGATAAATAAAAACGACTTACTTATCGAGTCCTTTGAATGCATCTGCTTCTATACTGGAGATCTTGTTCTCATAAAGGGTGAGGATTTCGAGTGTGTCGAGACCTTCGAAAGCCCTGCCGTGGATGGCTGTGATTTTATTACGGTTTAAATTCAAAATCAGCAGATGGTGAAGGTCTTTTAATGCGAGGGATGGGACGCTACCCAGCGAATTTTGGGAGAGATCCAGCTGTGTCAATCCCGTTCCTGTAAGGAAATGCATTATTTGATTCTATATTTGCATTTGCGAAATCGTTCATATAAATCTTGTAATTTGAGATTACATAACGTGCTCTGTTTTCGAGAATTTCTCGAATTTAATATACATAGTAATTTCATATATTCATACATTTTATTCCGTTAAATAAGCTTTGTTAATTTAATAATACACATTTAATAAAATTTAACATACTCTTATAAATTTGAAATTAATTTGAATTTTTTCATAATTCATGATGTGTCAATAGAAGACAAATTTTAAATAGGTTATCCTTTTGCTCAAAAATACAATTATATAAAAATAGTTTTAACATTAGCTAAATTTATGGTGTTTAATTAAAAAAACCTTGATTTATCATACATGTTATGCATATAAGAAATGTATATTTGAAATTACGTATATACGTATATATATGTATATTTACATACTTCGCAAAAACGAGACTTATTTATAATTCGTTGAAATTATTTTGTGTTTTGCAAAACTGACTGGTCATTTCGCAAAAGGTAAAATAATTTTGTCGCACTAATTAATAATGCGAAGATTCAAATCCTTCCTATTTTATATATAATTAATTCGCTGTAAAATACACGACGCGAGCGCAAAACCCGATTGGAAAATAACATTTTCTATGTTTAATGTACTTTCGACGTTGCGAGTTAATGCAACCGAGTGATGTCGCGCCCGAGACGCCTCGCAGTGCCGCATTCTCATTAAGATCCCGGTGTACACGCGATGCGGTTATCTCCGCGTATCTCGAGTACGGCAGGTGTAAAAAGAACGTATTTTCCAGTCCCTTACAGTAATTTATTCCGAATCTGCGTGGCTGCAAAGGCAATATAGCGATTGAGTCCGGGATTTCGTAAAAGATTTAAAGGGGTCAAATTTGCAGTTGACTTTAACGTGGGTCTTGAGTGACAGATTGAGTGCTTCCATTTTGGCTTTAATATTAAAAAGAAACTTTGATTTTAAATCGTCCATGGAAGTTTTTTGACTGAATAAGTGCCATTCCGCACCGTAAAAAAATATTACATAGCGCGTGAAATAATAGAAAGTTTTTTGCCTATTTTTCTTTACCTACGCGACCCTAATTTGAAAATTAGGACGTCGATATATTTATAAGCAATTTTAATCGTGAAATGACTTGTTTATTATCCAATTTTCTTTAGAAATTATTTCTAAAGGATTCTAAAAATTTGAATATTTGTATGTATGATGGTATTGAGTTGAAAATTTACAATTCAGTTAATTACTTGTAAAATTATTATGAGATACAATAATTATTTGAATAGTTTGCAATGTTAAAAATATTCAAATATTTTGCTATTTAATATTTAATTTGTTGTGGTATTTAACTTCATATTTAATTATGATGAAAACGTTTACGTATGATTGACATGGTAGCTATCCATTAGTAAATAATTTTTAAACCTTTTGCAATTCTATTGAGGTAAACAACATTCGTTATTTCATCACATGGACTTTCAAGTGTTTGAAACACTGTAATAATGAGTACATTGTATTTTTAGAATTTCAATGAAATTTTCCAAATATTATAAATATCACTAGGTTACACCGAGATAAAAAAATTAAAACAAAAAAATACCACAACGTTTGCTCACTTGCCGGAATTAATTTTGAATTTCACAAACAAAATTAATTTTATCATCATGTTTGTTTTGAATTTTATTCTCTGTATTTCAACGAAACGTGAAAAATGTGTACGGATTTCATATATTTCTGTTTTTCTCTGAAAAAGAAATGGAGATCCCTGGTTCTATTTCTCTGGCGTGTGTCATTGATATTTTCTTTTAACTTTCGCTACGAGCGAATATTATCGATATAATACTCACCGATAGAGCTAAGGGAAGATTCCTCGAGCACCGCTAGGCTGCTGTTGTGGATAGTGAGGTGGCGTATGTCAAGCCCGAGGAACACGTATCCCTGCAACTTGGGCAGGTTGTTATGCCTGAGCCTGAGATAGAATATCACGAGGTTCGGCCTTCCCTTAAGCACGGCCATGGCCCTGGAGATGTGCTGCAGGTCGGTGATCTCGCACACAATGTCCAGGCCGGATTTCTTCACGCTGCAGTAACAGGGCGCGATCTCGCTGTGGGACGGACAGACCTGCGACGTTTGCGCCAGGCTCGTCGCCAGGACGAGGCAGAGCAACCACACCAGCCGCCACACATCCGACAGAGCTTGCTCCCTCATTTTTTTTCGCCGTGCGACTCCACACTTCTCCCCCTGCGACGGCTTTGTCACAACGGCCGAACCACCCTTACTGCCTTACTTTCGGCCTCCGTGCCTATCCCCCTGGCGTTCACTCTCGCTTTCTGTCGGCCGCACGCCTCTTTCCAATCTACCCCTCGCGCCGTCTCCGTTTCTGCGTATCCTGCAGCCTGCTACTTAGCCTCTGCTCTTTTCATATCCATTGTTCGCTCTGCCGCACGGTGTACCAGTACACCGAGTCTGCAAATAGAACGGAAATTCGATGAAGGAAGATAAGCGTATGTGATAGTAGTCGAAAACAGGAAATTTGATATATAATCTCATCATACATCATAGTCTCTCAACTAACTTAAAGCACGAGAGAAAAACGTAGCTTACGCGAAAAAGATTGATTTTAATTTTTAATTGAAGTATATTAATGGAATATTTCCAACCGACCTATTGTTAATACATGTTGTTAACTTGGTTACGAAAGTAATAACGTGAAATGTCTATTGATTCGATAATTTCTTTGTTTATTCGAGCGTGTCTTTTTACAATTTGTTTAAAATGCACCTGCAGAAAATGCCGTGGCACAATAATATTGTTAAAATAGTGCAATGTTCAATTCCCTTTAGTTCAATATTTATCCAATGGTTGTGTAGTTTATATAGAAATGGAAGATGGAAATTCCCTGGAATTATTGCTTGCGCAGAATAGCACATGTATTCTGGCACGAAGCAATGGTAGTGTATGGAACGGTGATTCTAATCGCGCTGGCGTATACCGCAAACTTATGTAATACGAAAATATTTGTGTATGTGCGTAATAAACGTCAACTTATTGGCAGTTACGATAATGGCGCAAAACTTTTACACACAGTCGTTAATAACTGTAGTTAAAGTTTAGTATTCATTAGTGGCGCTGTGTACAACGTTACAATGCTATTAACATCTTTAATATCTCTAATAATAATCTCTAAAAATCTGGCATGTCGAAAACTAACGAACCACTATTGCACTTTATTTACGGAAAGTTCGTTAATTTATATTAATGTTTTACAGACATACGTGAAACATTAAAAAGAATATTTCTATTTTGAATAGATTTAAGATTCACTTTGTTTTTATTACAAATTTACAATCCATAGAAAATAATCTATATTGGAAATAGATGAATTTAAATTCTCTTTTTAAATTAAGTAATTAAAATTGTAGATCGTAAACATTAGTTGCATTTTCTATTTGAAGATATCTGACAATTATATTAATATTAACATTTTATTCTAATGAATTCTACTTAAATGGCTTGTTTCCTACTCAAGGAAGAAAGTCTAGTTTTATTTTAAGAAACTTAATTTTAAGACCGAGGAGTAAATATTTTGTCGAGAAAAAGTGAACTTTGGATTTGACCTTGATTTGATCTTTGATGACATATATCAAGGACAAGTCCAAAGTTTACTTTTTTAAAATAAAAATTTAATCACCAGTTTTTAACCTTTAAACCACCACGCCCAAAAAATCACACTAACCAGTCACCACACAATGTCGGTCTAATAGACCGTTATTATGCTCCCGCTAATTTTATAAGTTAATTATAATAAAAATGTATGTTTTCTGAATACTTGTTGATGGGGAAAAGGAAAACTATATTTTAATGTAACAAAAAAATCTTGTATACAATAGAAATAAAATATATTTAAATGGACAAATGAGAAAATTGTTGACAAGTAACGTTTTAATAGCGGTCTGTGAGACCGATATAGTGATTTAAAGGTTAAAATAAAATAGAATTCCTTTCTTGAATTCGTGTTTATCTTGCGATAAGCTCGCTTGATGTTGTAACGCGGCCAATTGCTTTCGGCAATTTGCACTTACCGAGCCATGCGGCGGATACCGTATCTTCTTCTAGCTCGTAATGTACTCAACGGAAGACGCAAAATGGAATAACGATGCGTACTCGCGTGATCACTAGTCATTGCTTTTGGTGTCGCTGTGTGAGTAACAGCTCAAGGTTTATCATTAGGTAATCGATCGTATCAGACGCGCAATATACTGACGTCTTCTCGAACACTCTTGCATCCTCGTTGCGTAATAGGTATGCACGAGCGGATCAACGAAGTTCGTAGATGTCCACGAAAGAAGCCTTCTCGGCTCGGTGAAGCGAACCGAGCGTGAAGCGACGCGCTTCAACGCATTGCAATTCGGAAGTGGGTCAATTCTTACTTCGCGCGCGCGTACGCGTGAGCGCGCGAATATCGAGATTACTCTCCCGATGATATCTGCGGGAGCTCCGGGAGCGACAATCGCGAAGCGTAACGCCGTTATTGTGCAACAAATGTGTCACTATTATAGTCGTAGCTCACGATCCCACCGCGGTGCGCGTGAATGATTTATTCTACCGATAAACACCTTTCGCCGCGGTCTCTACGCGCACCACCTATGCGGCCGCGAACTCGATAAATAAAGTCGTCACGGGGCTTCCGTCACCACCCACGAAGCAATCACTCACCGCTTCCCCATTTGATAGTAATATTCGCACCGCTGTCTATCCGGCGCAATTGCGCCGCGAGAATCGCGCCCGATAGTTACGTCACGATGTTATCGTCCTTCCGCAGACAGTTATCGACAGGGATGTATCAGCGACTATGTACTGGAAGCGTGGAATCGGTCTCTCGTTAGTTTTTTCCTCGGAAGAAGTATATCTGCACGGCGCGATCGATGTCCGATACACAATTCCCTCGAATCCACCGTCGAAAATACGGAGGCACGATCGACGTTATCCAAATGAATGGTGGAAGTGACTCGTAACGATCCACGGAAAGTCACGGAATCGACGATGACGATGGCGAGGCTATCGCTAAGACAGCCAGAGTCTCGTGGCCAAGACACGAAAGCGTTACAATTTGCTGAGCCGAGCTCTCCGCTGTGCCGCTGGTGACCGGGTGTCCGTTGGCATTATCATTGCCCGACTAATGGACCCCTTCCGGTACAGGGATCATGGGATCGCGACCGCGTGAATACGCCGGCCAACATTAAGTATTGTTGCGCGCCTGCGATACGCGGATCAAGTGTTTCGTGTAAAGAGTTCATAACTACGAGGAAAGAGTAGAGAATAATGAAGAACTTGATACCTCTCGATTATACGGCTTTTCCATACATATTACGCTAATATCTCGGCCAGGCTCTTTTTCCGCATTTGTTATATGAGAAGACGCGTAAAGCACAGGCCTCTCATTTGCATGCTCTAGTAGAAATCTTTTTAGAGTAACAATATCGAAAATTAAAACATGAAATAGAGTACGTCTAATATACACAATTTTTTATATATTACTTTAATACTTTTAATTAACCGCGTTATTTAGAAGATTACCTATGAAATGCGATATTGCTTACTGTTTATTGTTACTCCCTTAACTCCACAGAGCATGTGACGCTACAAATAGTAGTAGAAGGATAACGCGAACGAAACGTATTAATTCCTTTTTACTTTGGAATTTCTCTCTTCACGTTTCGTACATATTCGTACGTACGTGCGAATTTGCACGAGTAATTTCTACATATCAGCTTTGTTAATTCTATAAACGAATGGATGGATGCGAGTGTAAATTCATACTCAGGAAATATAAAGTTTTAACACAAATGTCATCAGCAAAATGAATGAGTTCATACTCTGTGTCTGAAAACGTGCGTATGGAATTGGTATTTACCATACCGTGTTTGTTAGAAACCTTATTATATTTCAAAGTTAAACTATGCAATATTATTTTCGTGTTCAAATTAATATGAATATATATTTACAATAACTTGGCGATATCGCATTTCCAAATTAAGCGCATGTTCAAACAAATCTTCCTATCATCAAATTTGTACTGCCAGTAAAACGAGGACATTAATCTTTCTGTACGCCTGTCAAAATAATCTCGTACAATCTTTCAAATTATTAAAGATAGATATCGGATAATTTGTTTGGGATCGGGTAATTAGTTTTATTTGTCGTCTAGAGATAATTCGTTTTTGACTTATAAAGCTATGTCATGATTACGGATTATTAAATCAATTTTTGTAGAGAGAGAAAGGGACAAACGATGTGCACTATTTCGAACAATAAGTCTTCACATTCTTTTTTAAAACTAAGACGACGGATATATTGCACGATTGCTAATTGAGTTTGGTAATGAATTGCAATGAAGAAGGTATTAAAAGCTTTCATAGTTCGCTCTGGATTTCTTCCAGAAGTGCTGCTTTCGCACCTCTTAAATCCCGTTCTTATTTAGCACAATGAATGTAAAATTCAAAACCGTTATATGTTACCGACATTTCTATATTTCTCAACTACCGCACGGTAGCTGAGAAATATAGAAAACAATTCACGCGATAAAATGACATTGAGATGTAAGAGATAACAAAATAATAGAGAAAATGAATACTCGAGAGAAATGGTAGCAAATAATGTTATGATAAATTCCTTTTTTTTTAATTTTCATAATTTATAAACTACAAACAATATATAAACGCTCATATTACGAATTGTATAGGTTTTAGTTAAAACACATATTGCGCTGTGTGTTTGTGCGTGTGTGTGGCAAAATGGATTTGATGCATAATACGTTTTAGAGCCGTGCTCCTCATAGCATGAATTGTGATTCATGATAATGCTTTGGGGATAATGCAGTGAGCCCGAGGGCAGTAATTAGCACATCGAATATTTGGACGAGATGCGAGTCCCTTTGGTTAACCAGTTGACGTCGCCCAAATCGATTCGTCTTCGCTTGCTCGACAATAGTTTGCCTTGCTTTGTTTGTATGGCAGTTGGTGTAGAATAAATTGTACACTCTAACGGAGAGAGAGAGAGAGAGAGAGAGAAAGAGAGAAACGAAACACTTTGTTAAATTGAACAACGTCGACACTTTGATAACGCCGTTTGCAGCAGACGCATTTTTTTTTCCAGCGCGCTTATGCGATTAATTTTTGTCTCAAGCAAAAGAAAGAAAGGAAAAGAGACAAATTTAATTGAATAATCATATAATCTCTAACATTATCATTTTTTTTGATAACGTGAACTCCAAAAAATGTTGCGAAGTTTTCAACTTGTAAATAAATGATAAAATATATTCACGATATTTTTGTGTCGTATGACATATAGTTTAAACATATATTTTCGATTTTATTACATTACGATTATCTAATCATGTTCCATTACTTGTGTCTGCTTTATCTTCTTAACGGACTCGAGCGGATGCTTTCAACTTAATTGTGCTAATCAAATTCATGTAGGAAATTTTGTCCAATATATTACTATTTTATCCAATTATATTTTTCTATATTTAACATACCTATGTGACATGCACGTCGCTCGAATATTCGTAAATAAATTCATTACAGAGCGTTTCTCTTCGCATCAATTGCTGCAATTTTGTGTTTTCACGATCGCGTGGTGTGATCCACAACTCGATCATGCATATTTTCAATTTCATTTATATTATCATGCCACGATCTTTCCGTTATTTCACTGCGAGAATCAAAGCCAGACGCTCGGTTCCCAGTTGAATTACAACGAACCGATTCGTATCAAATTCTCGGGATGTGGCCTAAATCCTTAGCAAGCTTCAACGTTTAAATATATGATGAGCTTGTTACGCTTTATTAGCATACATTGCGTGCGATTAACATGCGTCGTCGGGTACAGATGCCTTGACGCATCATGCGATGAGGATCGACGTGTGTGATTTGCAAATCGGTAGCGAACGTCGCGTATGATTTAATATGCATTACGACGAACGAAATCAAATGATTGAGTTTCTGAAATATTTTCATAATTTTATGTTTGCAATGATACGATGCTTGCTGAAACCAGCGAGTGATTTTGTTTACTCTATAGAATTTAGAATTTATAATAATTGACTATAAATTGTAAATTGTTATTACAGAAAAGCTTTCAATTCTTCCCAAAGAATTAATGTATTTCTATTTTACATGCTCTTATTTCTCGTCGCGACATTCGAATTTGGAATTATTAAAACGGTTAAAATGTGAAAACGCGACAGGAGAAGTCTAGATAGGTTATTAAATATTTAGCAATTAATAATTGTCTGAACGTTCATCATTTTATGCATTTAACGATCTTTTCGCTTCCCATGCAATTTAATAGAAAATCTGATTATAATTATAAATCTAAAATCGGATCTCCCCAATCCTTTCTATTTATGTTATTTGAATAAATATATGGAATATATTATAATTAGAATTATATATAGAATATATATATATATAATATATATACATATATATAAAATGTGTCATTAGAGCATTAACTAGATAATAATCCCAAATGTTTTCATCTCCAAGGAGCTGTGTCGCATTTGGCAGGTAGATTCGAACGTCAGAATACCTAAGCTTGATTGGATATTTGCATAAATCTTTTATGCATGTCGCATAGGCTTTAAGTCCCGGCATCGCAAGAGAAATATCCCGCGAACTCGCAATGTTCTTAGCTCTCGTGGAAATCATTTCCGGAATTGTCCATTATTCCATCGTCTCGGTTGTGAAATGAAAGAGACAGGTGGATACTCTTGCTTTTCCGGCCACTCGCGCGCGCAGTTATATATTTTTTCCTCTGAGTCCGAGGGAGCGCTATGTTTTTTCTCGGCCAACGGAAATTGCTAAACTTGCTCGTTTCGTGGTTGCTCCCGTTTCTGTACACGACTTTTACAGTGTTCTATTCATAATTGAACCGCCTGTCTTTTTGCACAGGGAAGAGAGAGGGAGAAGGGAGGAGACGAAAAACTGACTGCCGTGCGGCAATTCGGGCGGTGTGACGGGTAAAAAAAAGACATTCATAAGTAATGCCGCGCCAGCGAAGAACGCAAAGCTTCGCAGAGCCATTAAATCGTTGGCTCCGCGGGCGCTGCTGCTGCATGCAACATGGGCGGATTGGAACTTTCCAAAAACGCGCTCTCGTGTTCTCTCTCGTGTAAGAAGATTACGTGGAAGATTATGGTACGGGGTACTCCCTTTACCTGAACACACGTGGGAAATACGTTATTCACATCTCCCTTCGCTCGCCGTTTCACCCATTTCTAGCCCCAATTAACTCGACCTGCCTTTATATTAACATTTGCGGATATGTATTACGTTCGCGCGCGCGAGCATTTATATATCAATTCGCGAAGGCTGCGCATCTCGGCTGAAAACTTACGATGGCGCATTAATCTTTCTCCCCGTCCCCTTTTGCATAACGTTCCGCACATACGGAATTCGTACCTACAATACGGAACGGTTGATAACGTATCTGAAGATTAAAACGAACCGAGGGGGGTGTATTTACGAAACGGGCGAATTATCCCGTACGTCATTTTACATTCGGAAATGCCGAGCGTTATTAATAGATACATCTGATCCCGTACCAGAATAACATCGACGTGTGTGCGTTATTTCACTCTCTCATTTACTCTTCGGTAAATGCCGTCTGTATACACTATACATGATCCGTACATGCGATTTTATCCTAGTAAAATCCTGCTCGAGAAATACATACGACGAAGGATTGAACGTTGATATCCGGCGGATATTTTCGCGCTGCTATTTCGAAATTAATAGGTTGATAAAGAGGAGCGAAAGGAGCGCCGATGCGTCGGGACGTGCATTTCGCGATTACCGTACCAACTTGCAACGTTATTCACTGTCAGAATCCGATGTTCTAGGCGGCGCGGCGCGGGGGCGGCCGAGTACACGGCCGTCGGCGTATCCGCCGCGAAATGCGGGAATGCGAAATGCTGAATGCCCTTCTCGCATCGCGGCGCCCGAATGCGCCACGCAAGGCTAAACCTACGATTCGCAACGCTCGTCGGAATATAGAATTCGCGGTCCACTTTTAATTCTGCAGGAGACTGTACAGCTGTATTCACCCCGCGGCGGCGTGACGGGATGCGACGAGTTCTAACTGAATATTTTGT